TTAATTTTGTTCGGCTCATTAATGATTTTAGTAAATCGTATGATTCGTGTTATCCAAAATAAAAAGATACATATATATATATATATGTATATATTCGTACGTGTATTGCTGTAATTATCTGTTACGATTTACATTGAAAAATGATGGAACGATGGCTATCGGTGAAAAAAGATCGTCTCAGTCAGATGTACCATAAGTAAAAATTAGTTATTGGTCAGACATGTTTTTGGCTAGGTTGATTCTTAATTTCACAGTAGAAACGAGATTTTTCGTTGTGTTACATACGGATCGTGCCGAGGTCGACTCTTTGCGGCGAATTGGAGTGACACGAGATAAATACCAACATACATATACATCCTCCTCGTCGTCGTCGTTGTCGTCGTTGTCGTAGTAGTCATAGTCGTTGTCGTTGTAGTCGTTGTCATCGTTGTACTAACAGTTCGAACAGGGACATAGTCGTTCTCGTACCCGTGTGAACGTATTAGTAACTCTACTGTCGAGAGCGTAACTCGGTGCATGTGCAAGTGCATCGTGTCGAGAGATCGATCGTGCTTGGAAGCTTGCAAGCTCTTTTTTCGGCTTTTTCTTTCTCTTCTTCTTTTCTCTCTCTTTTTTTTTCTCTCTCTCTCTCTCTCTCTCTCTTTTTCATTTTTCCTTCCACGAGTTAGAAGTAACTGTTCGATGTCAACTTTCGATTAGCTTATTGAAATTTCCTTTCAAGAAAATGCCTCTCATGCGAATAAATGGTCTAACGTTGACACTGTTTTCATTTCTTAGAAGATATTTGTTTGCTCGAGGAATAAGATATTCTCAAAGTTCGACGTTCGACTTTCGACGTGAAATGATCATTTTCTTTTCGAGACAATATTCGAAAATCAACAAAATATATTTCATTATAATTTGTTAACACATATTTTCTTTTTTTCTCTCAGTATGTACAAATAACAGTAACTATCATTGAACATTTTAATTTAATTTAATTTAATTTAATTATAACACGAACTTTTTCATAATTCCATTATCACCGTCTCGTTGACCATGAAGCATATCCTTCGAAAGGCTCTCAATATCGAGAATATATATATATACACACACATATATATATATTCAATGGTGGTAAGTTTTAATTTCAAGTTTACACTCGTTATTCCACTTTTACAAACTCTCTCTTGCTTTATGATCAAAGTTCAATCGATAGTCGAAGCGAAAGACATAGTTTTCAAGATTCAACCGACAAACGAGACAGCGATTCTTCGATGATGATAAGGTCCTTGGATAAGAGTTTTGAATGCAAATGGTATTTCATATCTAGGACAGTTCGTATAATCGTATGTCAGTCCTTCTCTCTTTTCTCTCTCTCTCTCTCTCTCTCTCTCTCTCTCTCTCTCTCTTTCTCTTTCTCCCTCTTTGTTCATTTAACATCAATGTAATTATGTGTTGTGATATGAGAAAAAGCATATTCATTAGCGTTATATTTCGAACAAAGTAATCCGAACACAATCTCTACTCGCTTTTAGTTACCAACATAGAAAAAAATTTCGATTCCCATAGGAGTTATTTAAAAAATCTAACTCCGGTGACGAAGGGACGAAGAAAAAGAAAAAAATAACAAAGCAAGAGAGAGTCGCAGTTTGAAGGAAAAAAGAAAAGAAAAGAAGAGAAAAAAAAAGAATTTACAAAGGAAACTTCGAATAACATGAATTGGATAGAAAAAGGGCCGAGGTCTCGATCTCGAATATCCTTCCATTTCTTGCACGGAATCCCATTGAAAGTGGTTCGATTTGAAAAGGAAAAAGAAAATAAAAAGGGAGGATAAAAAAGAAAAAAAAAAAAAGAAAGAGAAGAGAAAAGGAAAAAAAAACAATATTTACGAAAAATATATTGTGTGTACGCAGTGATAGAGGCGTCACATCTTCCGGTTAGCTTTCACGACTGGATATTACGATCTGTTTTGGATCATGGCCAGGTCGATAAGGTCCTAGAAATTTCATTGCCTGAAGATACCCACCTGAAAATGTTCTCTCTCTTTTTCTCTCTCTTTGCTTTATTTTTCTCTCTTTATCTTTGCTTTAGTATCCTTTTGACATAAGAAGAACGTGTTTATTTTGGGGAGAATAATCCATCATAGAGAGAGGATCGCCAAATTGACGACTCTTGATCAAAGGGTATCTATCCTTAATCCTGGCAAACTGGTCAGACATAAAAGGGGACAAGTTTGGATCATTGATTCAAAGCAGAACAAAAGTAATCGTAAGTAATCGTAAGAGCGATGTGACGACTTCTCGATTTTGCGATTTACGTTTTTTTTCTTTAATAGTGGTGGTCCATTTAGGGACTTTTTATTATTATTATTATTATTATTATTATTATTATTATTATTTTTGTTTTTTTGAAAAAAAACCTTTCACAAGTTTGACAATAAATCATGAAAGGGATGGAGGAAAATCAATCGAGAACAGAGTATTGCGAGCAACGATGTACTTGTCACGAATAAAGTACTTTGCAATTCCATTCGATCTTCCTTTTTAGCTATCCATTAATACCACTATTACCATCACCACCACCACTATCAGTACTGCCAGTAGCAATAGCAGCGGTATTACCATCACTCGCAAATCCTCTTCAAGTTGGTGCCTTCTGAATAAGGATCAAAAATGCTATCGAGACGAGAAGAGCTATCGTGCTCAAAGAAATTCCAAGACTTTGTTTGCTCCCTCTTTTTTAGTCCCCTCTTATGTGATGGTGTGCTTCTTCTTTATTGGGAAAGAACGAGCTCTTGGAACGTTGAAAATCGGCCTGCCAAACGTGCTCATTTCCATATTCTCATATATCAAGACAATTTCTTTCGGATATGTCATATCCAAAGAATTTTTTTTTTCTTTTTTTTTTTTTTTTCTTTTTTTTTCTTTCTTTCTCGTTTCGAACGGGCGAGACAGTGCTCCGTAATGGTACGATTTACTCGACCGAAGGGTTCGTTTCTTTTTCTTGAAATAGAATGATAAAGGATCATCTCAGTTCGGAAATTTATTTTCTTTTTCTTTTTTCTTTCTCTCTTTTTCTCTCTCTTTTTTCTTTTTCTTTTTTTTTTTTTTTTTGTATCGACAGACGACAAAAAAAGGAAAAGTGGATTAGACCGTCGGTGTCCATAGACGCAAACCAGATTTTTTACGGGTCAAGGCCGAACCTTCGACCTTCGCACTTTGGTATCCACCTTTTTTTCTCTTTTTTTTTTTCTTCTTCTTTTTCGAAGCTTACAACAACTAGCGAACAATTAGAATTTTGATTGAAGGAATTAATTGAAATACGTTCGGACGTCGTTTTAATGGATATCTCGAAGTGATATTTAACGAATCGCTGATTTCATCGTGTTTCTTTAAATTGTAACTCGACAACTAATCATTTCTAATTTCATCTCTATCTGCTAGTTATTTTACTGACATTTCTAGGCCGATAAAAGCGTTTTGCGTTTGAAGGATTAGCTTGTATACTTTTTTGCTCATTTAGAAGCGTATCTCGTTAGAGATTTCTTTTTCATCTGTCGGACTGCTTTCAGCCGAAGATATACCCCTTTCCCTTTCTCTTTCCTTTGTCTGAACGTCCGTTTAAAACACATTTTCACGTCGAAATTTCATAGAAAGGTACAACAAACGATTTCAACTTTTCCACGGATTATCTCGACTATCATAAATATCAAATCGCGAATGTCACAGTAAAACCTTTGTCTCCGTTAAATGGGAAGGTAGAAAACTTTAATAAATACGTTCTCTTCCATTTCTGGCTATCTCTCCTGTACAAATTACACGTCGAAACTTCAAAAAGTTCTTTTGCTTCTTTTCTTTTTTGTTTCTTTTTTGTCTTTGCTACCCTCTCTCTCTCTCTCTCTCTCTCTCTCTCTCTCTCTCTCTCTCTCTCTCTCTCTCTCTCTGTGATTTGGCAATTCGAAGACTTATTTCTTGAACGAGCTAAAAAGTTTTTTTATGGTGTATCTAAGACTATATTAAATAGCAAGTCTCATTGTATTCACCTTTGAGCTCTTTCGAGGATTGAGCAAAAGAAAGGGAGAGAGAGAGAGAGAGAGAAAAAAGAGAGAAGGTGAAAGAGTAGAAAAAAAAGTTCGCAATAAAATTCAGATATAGCACAAGTCACGAAAGTTCGATGTAAGTAGAAAGAAATAAAAAGAGAGAGAGAGAGAGAGAGAGAGAGAGAAAAGAGAAACAGACAGACCTAAAGAAAGAAATAAAGAAAGAAAAAGAACAAGTTTGGTTAAAGTTCTTCAACGTTGAAATTATTTGTCGCACTTAAGAGTTCCCTAACATGGCAGCCGGTTATTTTGCATCTTTACGACTTCCTTTAGACACGAGCACTGTTACCGGTTAATAGTCGAGCGTATTCGCGTCCTCCTAACACGTTTCTTCAAGATTTATGAATTTCACATATTCGTGATGGCGATGCCCTCTCGCAAATAAACTTCTACCTACGTGCACGTTTAGAGATAAAGGTACTTGTTATATATATACATATATATATACATATATATATATATATATATATCTAGGTACATAGGTAGTATCTATGGGAGGAGCATTTTAATGCTCCGTGCATCGGCTCGTCACCCGTGAACTCTTCGAAGGAACGGTTGAACGCACGCAGTTAGATGATGTTAACTACCGCTGAACACGCGACCGTTCTACTTTTTAGTTTCCATATTCTCAAAGGCGTCTAAAATAAAGGCGAACGTTCGCGAACGTTTCTATTAAAGTACTAATGATTGGTCTCATAGATATCGATCGATGGACATCGTGTGACATCGTGAACGATCGAAATATTAGGGGAGGAAAAAGAAAAAGAGAAAAAAAGAAGAAAAAAAAAACAACAAAAAAAAAAAAGAAAGAAAGAAAGAAAGGGACAAAAAATTCATTGCTGGTTAAAAATGGGTTTTGCGTCGTCGTTAGAACGATTACTTAAATGTCTTCTCCTCTTTTCGTAACTTCTTCATGTCAAAGCATATATTTGGCTTCGTAATCAACGACACTTACGTCTTCTATCGTTCGACCGATTTCTTCGATCTTTAAAGCTTCTTCCTCAACGGTTCTAAAGCTCGTCTTAGTCGTGGAAAGGAAGAAAAGAAAAGAAACAAGAGAGAAAAAAGAAATGAAAAAAAAAAAAAAAAAAAAAAAAAAAGAAATAATAATAATAATAATAATAATAATAATAATAATAAAAAAGAAAAAAACTCGTCGATCGTAAATTGGATGAAAATAATTGTGGATCGAACGATGTTTGTTCTATTACATAAAGATAATATTACGTTAGGTTACTATTTTCGATAGAAAATTTCGTGATATCAATTTATTTCTCTTTTACCATTGTAGTGTCCGCGGTAACGAAAATTTCACTCGGATCCGATAAGAAATAATGTACGGTAAGTAGAATAGTAGGCATACTGGTAGATTAGTTTGACTCAATTCAGTTACTTCTCGTCACGCGATGTTCCTGTTTTCATCGGTGAGAATGAAGCAGGCCTCCTGACTTAAACGTCTCCCACCTGAAATTTACAACTTTCGAATGATTCTCCTAACATTTAAAGTAAGGACGATAATCTATATACCTACTATAATATCTGGTGAAATATAATATAAGTAAATACGGATCGATGATTTTTATTAGGGTGAAAATTTATAAGAAATTTTTTTTTCCTTTTTATTATTATTATTATTATTATTGTTATTATTTTATAACACGGCATATACTCGTTCGTACCTATTTTAGTTTTTAATAATATCTACACTACCTAGTAGATTTTGATATTTGATATCGTTTTATTCATTGATCGAATTTATTATTTGACTTATTTCGTGGTTTACATATATTAATCAAAGTTAGATATATATATGTATAGGAAGTATGAAAGTGAAGTTGGACATTGATTGACAGATTTATTGCCCTCGGAAAGAAGTTCCTGTAACTTGATCGGGTGAATCAATCTACCGTCAACAGAACGGACGTTGCAGTAATTTAACAGTTCGAGTAAAATTTAGGATATCCGAAATATCACGTACGTTTATTTTCTGTGATATTTTAAACGATAAATAGGCGCGAACAATTACCTAAGAGTAAAATTTATCGAACGAAACGATTCGATGCACCGAATCGTTTCTTATAAAAAAAAAAGAGAAAAGAAAAAAGAAGAAAAAAAGAAAAGAAAAGGAATTATATAATTTCATCTGCGACATTCTATTAAGCAGTCTTTGACCTAACATCTATTTGACCTGATATGTCTCTACAGTACCATCGAAATAACGATTTGAACCTAAGTAGTACCACTCGAGTCACGTTCTCGTTGAATAAGCATTGCCAGATACGTACTGTCCCCAAAGGACACTAGACTTCGATAGATGCAGAATAGACACAACAGTTTTCAAAGAGCTAGACAAAAATACATTCGTTATTTTTATCGTTTCATTTCTCGAAGAAAACAATTTATCGACATATTTATATACGGAACGAGATTTATTTACGATAAAAAATTTATAATACAAAAGTATAAGTAAAAATGGAAAATTTCTTTTGAAAAATTTTTCTTATTCGATGTCTTATTTAATTTAAAATTGATATTTAATTGATAAAACTTTCGTATGGCTAACGATAAATGTTTACTACTACTAAAAGAATCAGATTAGATTGAATTGAAGTTCCTACCAGACTGATTTTATCGGTCATAATAAATCTTAATATTCGACGGAGTCTCTTTTACTTCATCGAAGAAGAAAAATAAAAGCGGTCTTTTATTTTTCTTTACAACGGGTCGGTCTCTCCTCGAGCACGGTTACCAAATCAGATTGGATCGATACGGTTCACGGTTGCACGTTTTAACTATAGAACACGTTTGCCACTGGCTAATGTGAATATACCTAACTTTAATTTCTTTAACATATTCTTTAACGACATTAGAAACTGTCGTTGAAATAAGTAAGTTAACTAAATTAGTTTCTTTTCAGAAGTTTTCATAAGTTTCGCGCAGTTAAAAAAAAAGAAACTTAAGAACGCGTTACTTTTAATCGAAACCGTATACATCTGTGAAATGTTACGTTTCGCTAGAAATTTTGTTGCTCTTTCGCGATATCGATTAGATGTCTTATTTTAGTTTTGACGGGGGCATCGAACCTACCAAACGTTCGAACCGTTGGTTCGCCGACACTTAACTTCTTACCATAACTTCCGCGTTTAAATTGTTCATTTAAGAGTTTATTAAATTACCTTCCGCTGAATTAAAAACGAGGTTATACGAATAGGTATAACAGAAGTGGTAGGGACGTGTGTCGACACGCGTCAACCGACAAACGATCGTTAAAATTAATGACGTCGACTTTAAAACTGTCGGAACATTTCCACAGAACTATTTTATACCTCTTTCTCTCTCTTTCCCTCTTATATATACATTCGGCTTATCCGAATAAAAACTCTTTTTCTTTTTATTGGTTTTACCTTTTCTACCGTCTAATACTATCTTCAACGGTCATCTTTCATTCTTACTCCGAGCTATCGCATAAGAGACAATGATTTCTCTTTCGTTTCTACCACTCGACATTTTTTACTCTCACAAACGGGTTCATTTTAAGGATATGAAATTTTTACGATGATCTCTTTCCCTTTCCCTCTCTCTCTCTCTTTCTCTCTCTCTCTCTCTCTCTTTCCATCTTTTATTAAACATTTCTTGGTCCTTCCCTTTGATCTTGGAAAAATATGTTAAATTACTTGTGAAAAAAAAAATAAAATAAAAAGATAAAAGAGAAAAAGAATCGTAAGAGACGTACCGGAAGGAGTAACGGCGTTAGGCAGAGTGGTTCGTCGAACGATGCTGCCATTATTGGTAGTGGCTTCCGACATCACTTGGGAAAATGGCGGCTGGGCAAAGGTTGTCGCCGGTGGGGGTGGTTCGCGCAGCATCCGTATCTTTTGTATCATCTCACGTATCTCGTATCGTAGAATACCGAGGAAACAGAGTTTTGTGAAGGCCACGACACAAAAGCCAAATACAAATAGGCGATCGGAAGTTTCTCTTAACCAGCGTAGCAAGGATTCGTCGCATCCTCGTGAGTATGGTTGCTGGCAGGTGTCGCTGACATTCATGATGGGCCCGCAACATGTCTGCGGCCAACGGGATCCGAAATCACGCGGCCCTGTTACACCGCAACACGTGAATTCCTTCTGCAGTCGATCCCAATGCTCGCTGAATCGTGGCTCCTTACCGTACTCCGTCTGTCGAACAATGAGAAACACATTTAACGCTTTTCACATCGGACTATTTCAAAGGACTAAGAGAACGTGTACCTGACGTCGCAATAATAAATAAATATCTATAATAGAAATGATATTTCTTTTGTTTTTGATCGGCTAGAGAATCATTACGAGATTTGTTTGACAATGAAATGTAACTACTCGATGCCAAAACGTGTCGATTCAAGTGTCCCTTCGAGCTATTTGAATAAAGAAATTATTATATTCTCTATGACGACTTGATCCCGCTCGATTAAAAATCTATCTTCTATTCTTTGATAATATCCAGAAATTCGTTTGAAGATTTTTCGTTTTTTTTTCTTCATTTTATTTTTTCCTTTTTTTTCTTCTTTTTTCCCCTTTCCATCTATCGAAAAGCTATTTAAATTTGTGAGAGGACGCAGTGAGGTAAATTACTCCGAACGACTTTTCATACTTTGATATTTTCTGTGCGAAAGGTTAATCGGTAAGATCATTGTAACAGCGAAGTAGGCGTTCTAATTTGCGAGAGGGCACTTCAAAATTCAATATTTTATAGTTTTCAATGGAATAGGTACGACGGAAAAAAATTTCACCGGTTGTGAAAAATATCACCAATGTTCTTTCGATCTTGAAATTTAACTTGAAATTTATTTATTAATGAGTATCGTCAAAACTAACTTTGCTGTTTATTTATTTTTTCTTCTTTTCTTCTTTTTTTTTTCTCCTCCTATCTTTTGGATCTCCCTTTCGTCAACGTAGATATTTGTCCTATAAAACAACTATAACTTCATCGTTATAACTTTCTTAATTGCGACAGTAACATTTCAACGATCTTACTCGTCGTTTTCGAAACTGTTATATAAGTTACTAAGAGTAGACGACAAGATATTTACTTCCTGACGTATTAATCGTTAACACCGACGAACATGGATAGATAACTATTAATAATCGTATGAAATTTAGGTCGTGAAATTTATTCGCGCTTAATTCATTCTGTCAAGAAGAAATAAAGAAAAGAAAAGAAGGAAAAAAAGAAAGAAAGAAAAAAAATAAAAAAAAAAGAAAATAAAAAAAAAAAAGAAACGGAAAGAGTGAAAGCAAGAAAGGAGAGAGAAGAAAACGATAAAAAGATTGTGCCAGATCGAAAAAGAAGCCCCATAATTCCGTTCTCATCCGTTTGCTCGTTATCGGTTCGTGTCAATCTACGCACGTTTCTCGTTAGATTATGCGATCAGTCTGGATAAAGGAACACAAAAGCCGTGAGGGTGTGTAACGATTTCGAATACCGAATAAAGAGGGTGAGGTAAAAGAGAAAGGCTTTTCAAGAAAAAAGATTAAAGTAACTCGTGGAAAACCCTCGAACGTTGATTTTCTTCCCGAGCATCGTAAATGTTACAATCTTACTTTCTAACGCGAAGAAGCAAGAATTTTATCGTGCGTAAACGTAAGCCCACCCTCGTAGCCGTTTGATTTTAACTTTTCGAAAGGTTTTACGAGCTCGCCTGATAATTTCCTATTATACGTTGCCCCATTTCCACGATTTCTTTACCTTTGTCCAACAAAAAAAAAAAAAAAAAAAAAAAAAAGTCGTAAAAAACAAAAGAATTAAAGAAGGATCAGAATTTTAAGACGGACACGAAAAGAGAGAACACGCTTTTAAATAGAATTTATTCTTACGTGTTATCGACGAACGATCGAGTAAATTTTTCTATTAAAAATTATCGTACGATTAAAACAAATTGCAATTTTGTAGAAAAGAAAAGAAAAGAAGAATTATATATTTGTGATTAAAATTAATTGTCACTTTTTCATTTTTTCATTTTCCTTTTGGAATTTTATAGTTAACAGGATTGACAGGACCTAGGGCGTAGTATCTACATGTATACATATGGTTATATATATTTAGCAAACCCAAGGGCGTCGTGATAAACAAGTAGTCCTAACAGTGCTAAAAGCGTGTTTCGAATACGGAACAAAGTGTTTATATATTCGGTGTAGCACCACCGCGTAGACGCATATATGGGGTTAAGTTAGGTGTGCCCACTCGAGACAACATTTTGCAGAGGCTGAAATATACCTTATTAGCGAGAGAGAGAGAGAGAGAGAGAGAGAGAGAGAGAGAGAGAGAGAGAGAGAGAGAGAGAGCGAAGTTAGAGCAAGGCAAGCCTTAAAAATTGTAAATTCAATCGTATTGAAAATATATTGGCTCGTTCATTAATCTTTGAGGATGGTCCGATTCATTTCTTTTTTGCAAGGAACAATTGTGTGTGCGTACGACGAGACAGTCCTGTTTCATGGAATTTTTTTCTTTCTTTTTTCTTTCTTTATCGAGGAATATGAGTATTAAAAAAAAAGAAAAGAGGGATAAAATAAAATTCACACAAAAAATAAACATTCTTACGATTCGCGATAGGTTAGATGTCACGTTGATCGATCCATGCAGAAAATGTAGGATCTAAGTACTCTCTAAGCGTTTTAGTTTTCTATTTACTAACTCGTTGCCTATATCATCGGTCGTATTATATGGACTATGAGTAAACGCACGACTACTCTGTTCTCAAATACGATTTATCCGCGGACATAACAAGATGAGAGAATAGATTTAGATCAACTCGGTCAAAATTATTCTCATTTATCTTATCTTTATTATTACTTTATATTTTACGTGACATTTATTCGAAAATAAATATATTTACGTATATATATATATATATATATATATACATTTATAATATAATCTAATATCATAAATAGAATATACTTTACCGTTCCTTTAATACTCAAATAGATTACGATATTCGTGGTGTGCATTTTATATTACTCTTAAGATTTTTCCTTATGGATCGGAACGTAAAATCTTGAAGGACGAATGTACGTAATGTGCAATAAACGTACAGTTAGAAATGCTCGCGACCTACATTTTATCGGGATGAAATATCGGCTGCTAACGTGAGAGAGGGAGAAAAGGAGAAAGGGAGAGTTGATATGTGTATGTATATATATATATATGTACATATATATATAATATTATATCTGGAGGGCAGATATTGCACGACGAAACGTAAATTTATGGATGACAAAAGAGGAAAAGGAAAGTTCTCGCGTCAACACACGTCAGAATTAATTATAAAAGAGAAGATAGTATATTCTATAATAATGAAAATAAAAATGTATATGGGATAAGGAAACAATATCTCTTGTTTTTCTCCCTCGAGAACGGTTCATTGCTCATTTTCACGGCTTTATACTTTCATACTTTCGTGACAATTAAGATAGCTTAAGTTTATTTTCTTGGACCATTACCAAACGCTACTCTATCAATTGAAAATGCATAAATATATGTACTCTTGAAAAGATTTTCTCCTTTTATTTTCGTATATTTCAACAGGTATCTTTGTTCTAACGGCTGTAATATGTCATTCGATTTCAATGAAAAAGCTTGGCTCGCATTCGCCGATCGAATTTTAGTATTTTTCCTCGTGAAACTGTGAAGTATCTTGGATAATATTTTTCATGAATAAAAGCAAAAAATGTGTGTATGTGTGTGTGTGTGTGGGTATAGACATGTTCTCGAAAGGAAAAACGTGAAAAGGGTAAATGATACGAGTAGGAGATACGTGCGACGTTATAAGAAAACGAGAGAATAACTCAGAAACATATTTTCTCGATGACAGATGTTTTAAAGGATGAATCCTTTAGCGAATAGGTCTTGAAAGCCGTCCCTTGTTTTCTCATTTATATCAAAATCTTTCTCTGAAAGGTACGAGAGATAACGCGTAAAGTGGAAAAAGAAAGAACCTTTGTGTTGAGTCAGTCAACCGCAGCCAAATCTCGCATTATTCATTTCTTACGTATGAGCTATATTGCGATATTCACAAACGTGTATGCATATTCCTCATGAGATATCTATGAAATAGTATGAGATTGTGCGTATATATGTGTATGTATGTGTGTGTATCTCTCTCTCTCTATCTCTCTCTCTTTCTCTGCGCGCGCGTGTGTGTGTGTGTGTAAGCGAACCCGTATTTACTTTGGACAAAGATATATAATTCTCTGACAACAACGTAAGAACAAATGAGAAATAGGAAAGGAAGCTTAGAATTGTCTCGAGTCTTTCTCAATGGCGTTGATTCGTTCGCGACCAAAGAGAGCCATCATTTTCTTGGGGAGTTACGAAGAAAGAATGCCAATGGAAGGAGGTGACTCTGGCAAAGAAAAATATCACGACTGTTATCACGACACGGTTCACTGCTAATACGGATTTAGTTAGAATACGTTCGGTAAACGTGTCTGATGACACTTTTTCAAGATTTTCTTTTCTTTTTGTCTTCTTTCCTTTTTTTCTTTGTCTCGATTAAATCAAACGGCAAAATTATAATAAAATATCAATTTGCGCATGTGTGTTGATATAATAGAGAGATAATATTATTTAATTATCCTCGTATCTCGATGTTCCTCTTCCCGCGATAAAATCATTCGGAGGGAAGATAATACTCACGAGGAAGCACGTGAATCACTAGGTTATACCTGACCGAATTGCTCAGGGTTAATGTCCTATTCTGGTTTGCTCTATCCTACCATATATCAGTTCAGCGTTCAAAGAGAATCGTATATCAATCACGTCTTACTGGTGGCTAGCCGTATTTTAGACTCACAGATTTCAAAGGCCTCCTCGCTCCCTCCCCTCTCTTCCTCTTTCTCCCTTCACACTTATCCACCCACCTTCTTCTCTTTCTAATCGATCAAAGTTAAAACGAAAACTTTGCATTTTCGGACTTACGATTACGTGGCCCGTCGAAGCGAAAGAAAACAAAATATTTTCTTTTCTTCTTCTTTTTTTTTTTTTTCTAACATAAAGATAAACTTTTTTTTTATCGAACGCGTTCTCTTCTCCGGTTTTGTAATCTTCCGGATGCTTTTCTCTGTGGATTTAAAACTTCACAGACACATAAAATACAATCTTGTCAGCGTATATTTTTTCGTACGTTCTCTTTTTCTTCTTCTTTTTCGTCTATCATCTTTCTCTTGAAAAAAAAAAGGAAAAGAAAAATAAAAAAAAAAAAGTAATCCTTCCAAAAAAATGAAATCAAATATTTAATCACGCTCGAGTTGTAATACCAAAAATATAATCCCTAAGAAAAGAAAATTCGCGAAGGGATTTAGACGATTCTCTTGAAAACTATCTCCATTTACAAAGCTTGGAAATTTAACGATATAAAGGATAAAGATAGATAGGTAGATAGATAGATGGATAGATAGGTAGATAGATAGATTTCATATATATATATATATATAGAAGAACATCGTAATAATATACTCGTATCTTTTTATCCCGTGAATGCAATAAATCTCTTATAGAGAAGAATTTACGGCTTAGATTTATAAAGGTACTCTTTTGTAAAAAGAGGAAGAAGCCCGTTTCTACGCTCGATAACACTTTCAGACAGTCGTACCATTTTCTTATTACGCAAGTGTATCTCTCGTTTCTTCTTTGTCTCCCGAGCAAGCAACTAGCAAGCAACAAGCGAGCAAACAGGCGAGAGGAGTAATAATTACAACCGAGAAAATCTAAAGAAAGATTTTGTTCAGAAAGAAAGGAAGGAAGAAAGGAAAAAAGAAATAAAAAATGAACGAATTAGACGAGCCCATTACCCATTCTAATTATCATCGAGCGTGCGATCTTAATCATTGTTTCTCGCGTCACGTACTTAGGTAACTTTTGGTAACTTTTGCATTGGTTGACGTCAGCGAACGTGATTTTTTCTTCAAACTTGAAGACGAGTCAAGCGAGGCTTAGAGAACGATCGTACGTAGGAGCCAACTCGGACGTTCATCTCGAATCTATGTTGAGATCGTTTAGAACGGGCTGACTGAGTTAACTTGGTCGACCGTGCCAGTACATTATCGTAGATGACATTAGGATAGTCTTGCCTGAAGTTATTGAGTATCTTCGACCTTTAGATGGTAAAAGAACGAAAATAAGTCAAAGAGAACGCGTCCGAATAAATCAAAAAAAAACACAAAAAAAAAACAAAACAAAAAATTCTAAAGATCTGCAAGTAAAGGATGACGAATAAAATAAAATTAAATTAAATCAAATAAAAGAAAAAAAAAAAAAAAAAGAAAACAAAATATATAAAAGGAGCAACGATCGAACCTGTAATCGTAGCCTCAGCATGGGCCTGAGTTGGGCGTTCATTCCCTCGGAACGGACGACCCAAACGATACCGATAACGATGTCTCCGAAGAGTAGGACCAAGAGTAGAACCCAATAAACGTTGAGTAATTTGGCGCTGAGTCTTCTTACGGCAACGCAACCAAGTAATTGAACGAGTCCCAATTGAGTACCCAAAGCTAGGTAAGCATATAGGGCCGTCGGATCGAAGGCTCTTGGGACTCCAGGTATTACGTGCCTTCTGGGATCGCCGGTGAATATAATGGACATTGATACGACCGCGGCGAATGCAGCCGCGCTGAAGAAGAGCACCCCGTTACAGGCGTAGATCCAGATCCGATAATATCGCATCGCGACGTCCTGGCCACCGGCGGTGCGTCTCTGAGACGTCACCGAAGCCGGCGCCTCCTCGACGGCGTACTCGCGGCTTCCGCTGCTCCTACGGACACTCCTTTTCACGATATTGTTTTTGTTCCCACTCTCGTAATTGTTGTTGTTGTTATTGTTGTTGTTGTTGTTGTTGATGTTGTTATTGTTGTTATTATTATTGGTCGTGGGAGTGTAATTGTTCTCGTAATTGTTGTTAAAGTTATTGATGATGTTGTTGTTATTGTTGTTATTGTTGTTGTTATTATTATTGTTAGTGGTCGTGATGATGGAGGCGTCTATAGATCGCCTATGCTCCTGACGATCGTCCAGCAGGAAGATAAAGGGCGGCTTCGCGCTGCAGTCCTTCTTCGCTGTCTTTTGGCGATGCGTCGACTGCGGGGTGACCGAACGTTGCAGCAGCATCACCGTCATACTATCGTGCCTCCCTGGTACGCGTGTCCTCGTCGTAAGGGTAGCTTCAAACGTAACGAGCAAAACAAGAGAGAGAGAGAGAGAGAGAGAGAGAGAGAGAGAGAGAGAGAGAGAGAGAGAGAGAGAGATGAGAAAAAAGGAAAGGCAGTTGAAATTGACGGTGACGATGAAAAGGTAGGAAAGGAAAAGGAAAAGATTAAGATAACGACAATGCTCGAAGAGTAGTAGAAATAGAACTAAAAATAGAAATAGAAGTAGAAATAGAAGTAGATGTAGAAGAAGAAAAAGAAGAGAAGGAAGAAGAAGGAGAGGAGACGAAGCGTGGCCGAACGAGACCCGGACACTCCGTCTCCTGGTGAAAAAGAACCGAGGAAGGACGTGTGTCACGCGAGACACCCTCTACCCCAGTACGATGGTTTCTTGTTCATCGTAATCTGTTTGGATGAGAAGCCAATGTCCCTTCAAACAGCTGTTGATGCTGCTGTAGTATTCCTTGATCGAGCGAAATAAGACGATATCTGGAAAAACAGAGATTAAATCTGATTAAGTCAGGACAATTACCTTTTTTTCTAATCCCCTTTCTTTTCCCCCTTAATTTCTTATCAAGGATAATGATGGATGTATCAAAATAGGATACTTGAAAAAGTTTGAAAGTTTGAGAAACGAAAGGAAAAAAAGTATCATGAAATTATGGAGAAAGAAAAATGGGGAAAAAAAATAAAAAATGGATACGCACAAAATCGAATCCTATCGATGAAATGTTCTCTCTCTCTCTCTCTCTCTCTCTCTCTCTCTCTCTCTCTCTCTCTGCCCTCCTTTAATGTTTTTTCAAAACTATTCCCAACGTGCAAGAGTTCCGAATGAAATTTCACGCAACAATAAAGACTAAAAGCAACGGGCAGGTCGCACGTGCATCGCTTTACCTCATCGTACGTTCTGATATTCTGGCAAACTTTCAAGTATCAAGTTTCAAATGCATCCCACGATATTGCGACATAAATATATTCCCTTTCGTTCGAATAGTATTCCCTCGTAAAACAGGGACTCCATAAAAAGGGAGAGAAGAAAATAACATGTAATTTCTTTTATCCTCTCTCACGCAAGACTAGGCCTGATCTCGAATGTACGAGTCTATTCCCTTTTTTCTTTCTTCGTTTTTTTTTTTTTTTTTTTATTATTATTATTATTATTATTGTCGCGAGTGTTCATCCAACCAACACCGGTAGTCCAACTACCACTGTACGTTACTATGCTATCATATTCTACTGTCGTCCGAGGAGTGCAAGGGCTCTACTGTAAATTATCGTTGTCACGCGCCTTCCCCGTCTTATGAAACGCTTTCCCTTGGACTTTAACGATTCATAAACTCCTCCTTTCGTCCTTATTACCAACCCATATAAACCGTGATATCATAAGATACGGAAACTCATAAATATACAATAGGATAGAATCACGAAATTTATGAAACAAATCGTAAAGCAAATTAATGATTCTTTGGTTGAAATTATCGGAGCACCATTTCAAGAGGTTTCGTTTCATTTAAAAAGATCTCTCGTTTGCAAATACAAAATAATCCAATATACATCGCGTATGTTATATATGAAAGCACTAGCTTTTGAATACTCGACGAAGCTTTCGACGTATAAGTACGAGAGAAAGAAGAGTTTAATGGGTGAGTTTGAAACCGTGTCTCTCTTTCTTTTTTTTTTTCTTATGTTTTTCTTTTTTTTTTTTTTTTTTTTGTTCTTTCTTCAAATTAAAGACCAACGCCTAGGAGTTGATTGGTACACCTCTTGGGGTACTTGGGTTCGTGTCAAAAGAAATATATAAAATGAACGAAAAAAAAAAAAAAAAAAAAAAAGAGCTCGAGGAGTTGATACGAAGCTACGTCCTTATAAATGAAAAGGCTTACAACGACTACGAAAGAGTACTCGGCTAATTTCAATTCGTAGATACATAGGTATGGATCGATCGATTGGCACCACGCGACGTAGCGTGAACCGTAAGGGTTCTCCTTCTTCTTTTCTCTCTGTCTCTTTTTTCTTTCTTTTTTTTTTTTCTTTTTTCTTTTACGACGAGAACATCTTCGACGGGATTGCATTCAGCCAAGACGAACGACTGACTGACCAAGGAGAAATAAAGAGAGAGAGAGAGAGAGAGAGAAAGAGTCAATTTGACGAGACACACGAACGAAGGATGAACGTACGATTTATGACATTCTGCTAAAGGTCAAACGGTCTTCCATTTTGTCCACCTGGTTGGAGGATAAATGACCGAAAGGAGGAACTCGATCGGGTGTCTGCGAGGCGATAGACCTTTGTTCTTCCCCCTTTCGACTCTCTAGGCCCGTACATAATGATACCTCGTCTATAGTCCGGCTAGTGGTCAGTTATTCATACGATAAAAGTCGAATGTGGAATCCCTTGCGAATGTCTCCGATTTATCACTGCTTACGTTAAAAAATGCCAACTCACAAACTGTGTCCAAATTTCTCGAGTGCTCTTGGGCTTAAAAGGAGAAGCGAAGTCGCTATTATCGGGCACGGTTCGATAGAAGTTTTTATCTCCCCTTTCTTTTTTTTTATTCATTTATTTATTTATTATTATTACGATTTTTTTTTGTGATACTCTTCCTCCTCTCATTTATTTTTTTATCTTTTTTCTTTCTTACACTTTTCGTCAATGAAGAACGTCTCTTCGAGATCTACGAAATCAACGAAAGTTTCATTAATATCATACGATGTTAATCAACGATTAAACCCTATCAAAATCAAGATCAAGATTAATCGATTTGGCTCGTGTAAATTGTACGCAAGAAATTCGAATAAAATCGTCGAGTAATAATATCCTTGACGCCGAAAGTACGTTTTCAGGACAGTTATACTTCGATCGAAATAATATTCTCGTATGCGAGACCATATGCGCGATGCATTTTCTACATCAAACTGTACTCGCCATCTGGATGAGATATACACGCCCACGCATGAAAGTGTATCGTTCGAGCGATCGGGATCGTTCGTGTTCGCCATTAGAAAAAGTCTTTTTCAAACTGATCGATCGCGAAAAAGTATATATGTTATATATATATATATAAACAGGTATATGTATATGTAACTTATATATAGATATATGTATCTACATATTGGTTACAATTTTTGCAACCGATTCTTCGTTCTACGGTGATTATAGTAAGGGAAAAATATCGAGTACGTTTATGTCCAACGATCGAACGTAATTAAAGCGAAGGTAGGACTAGTCATACGGTTAAATAAACAAAGCGACAATGCAGCCTTTAAATGCAACGACTAAGTCACGCTTTGTAAGTCACGTTCAATTATTATCAAAATTTTAATACCGTTTTAGTTCGACCTAAATCGTGTTTGCTTCGCAAATCGAAAAAGCTTTATTGTATCCCTTTGGTCTTTTACCAAACGTGGGCTTAATTATTTTCGGATTTGCTCTTTTCCGAGAAAAAAGGAATAGATTTTTTGATTTGTTCCTATTGTATCTGATTTTCGTGCGATTCAATGGAGAATAAAATATCCTAATCGAAGGAGGAACGAAAGGAGAATGATTTCTCGTATATTAACTTACACGACAATAACATCGACTACGACGACTATGATGACGACGAGGACGAAGGACACACATTAATTTGACAATTTGCCAGTAGTAAAATAATATGATAACAGTATGTAATTCTTGCCGAATTGTATTCCCTTATGACAATTGTAGCGTGCAATAGGCGATTCTATTATCGATCCTTTTCCGGCTAACTCGAAGCGCTATGTTGCTTCTGTGGAGTCGAGGAGAAAGATAGGAGAGAATAATAGCGAACAGAGAGAGGGAAGGAAAGGGGGTAATCGGTGGTGAGTAGTAAGCGAGAAGGGTGAAGGGTTGAGAGAATGGAGAGGAGAGAGAGAGAGAGAGAGAGAGAGAGAGAGAGAGAGAGAGAGGAAAAAAATGAGGTGGTAAAAGAGAAAAAAATTACGCATAAAAAATGCATAGGGAAAATAAGAGTAGAGATTATGGAAATCGTAAAAAATAGAGAATTAGGTTGGGTCGAAGGCGACAGGGGGAGGAGGAGGAAGAGGAGAAAGAGGAAGCGTGCACGCGTCGGTGACGTGCTTGGAGAGCGTGCACTTTGGCGCATCGCTCGTGCCAGCTCTCTCTCTCTCTCTCTCTCTCTCTCTCTCTCTCTTTCTCGTATAGTAAAGCTGATGGAAGGTGAGAGAGGAGGGGAGTCGCGTAACGATAACACGGAAGAATGGTTAAGGGTCCATCGATCGTTCGAGCCCTCCGCGCGCGTGCTTGTTCGCCCTCCTCGATAAAGAGAACGAGAGAGAAAAAGAGAAAGATAGAGAGAGACATGTTTTTCTCGTCTATCCTTTTAGTCTATGTACCGTTCTAAATATTTTTGAAAGAATCAAAATTCATGGACGATCAGTCAATGTCCTATCTGGTCAATGTCCACCAATAGAAATACTTCATCTCTTTGATTCCGCGCGATCGCGCGATGATCCTTTAAAGTTTTTCTAATGATACGATTGCTATCTTTATTGTTTTTTTTTCTTTCCTTCTTTCTCTCTGTCTCACAGTGTGCCGTGTGACTGTGGACAATAAAAAGGAAGTATGACCTTGTACGATGAATTAAACGGCGTATGCCACGGTCGCGAGACCGGCACCCTCTTTTCTATTTTTTAATTAAATTCCTTCATCGACGGAGAAAGAGAGAAAGGGAGAAATAGGGGGGGGGGGGTAGAGAGAGAGAGAGAGAGAGAAGGCCGTGAGGCGAGAGCTTTTAATTAGCCGTCGATGCGAATGTTTGTCACGGTCCGAGGCCGAGCATGAAAGAGAATGCTGTACAAGTGGAAAAGAGAGGGGAGTAGAAAGAGGGAGAGAGGGAGAAAGAGAGAAATAGAGAGAGAGAGAGAGAGAGAACACGTAGTGGTCGAAGCCAATGAGAAAGAGGAAGAGAGAGAGAGAGACTGGCTGGCGTTATGTAATCCTCCTCCAACCTTCCCGAAGGAGTTTGCGGCCGATTTCCTCCCTCTTTTCATCCTTTACCATTTCACCCTTGTTTTGACTCTTCTGAAAAATCGACGATTCCCATTTCTTTTCCACTCTTCGACTATACGAACATTATTTGTCTATCTTGATGAGAAGAAAAAAAGAAAAAAAAAAAAGAACGAGATCAAACGATATTTTCTTTCTTCCGTAAAGAAGAAAAAGACTTCTCGAGATATATAGATGAAGAAAATGAAATAAAGGGTAAGGGACAATTGGTTCCTGCTCACCCATGAAGATGATGATCCTGTGCACTCGATCTCGAGACACACACGTGATCCTCACCGTGATACCAACCCTCCCACTCACCCACGCCTATCGATCGGCTGGGGATCGATCTGGCGTGCAGAGGGAGGGAAAGAGATAGATAGACAGATAGAGATAGAAAGAGAGAGAGAGAGAGAGAGAGAGAGAGAGAGAGAGAGACGACAGACGAGAGAGGGCGCGTAGCGAGAGAAGGATAGATAGATAGATAAATAGATGATGGATGGTTGGATGGTTGGATGGATGGATGGATAAAGAATCGCAGAAAGGTAACGGATGGATCTTTCAAGATGTCCATTATATTACTGACCTTAACAAGAATGTAAGAGGACGCGAAAACGGCGCGCAGGAGCGTGGGGTTGTTCGCCGTGAGGTCGATGACGATGATCGTCGGTGATACCAGCGACGCTCAGAACAGAAGAGGGATCGAGCGTCGATAACGAAAATCGCGACTTGCTCGTACGCACGAGTGCGCTCGTCAGGTAACGTCTATGAGCATCGCCGCAAGCCTCACGGTAGCCGCTCTTTTCGTTCTCCTTTATCTTGTTTTTCTTGTTCCCACTGTTGTTTTTGTTCTTCCTTTTGTTGTTGTTTCTTTTGTTGTCGTTTACATTGACGTTGTCCTCGTACCCGTTGTCGTTTCCCTCGGCGTTCATGCCAGCTCAAGCCGGGCTGCTTGCGACGTTTCGCTCGCATTCGCCGTCTCCACCGCGACTCTTCTTTTTCTTCTTCTTCTTCTTTGGTTTTCCTCTTTCTCTCTCTCTCTCTGTCTCTCTGTCTGTCTGTCTGTCTGCCTGTCTTCCTCTTTATCTCTTGTAAGCGACGAGGAGGAGAAGGAGGAGGACTTTCTCAGCAGCGACGAAGCGCGCTCTCAGCTCCCACGCTCCTTCTTCCTACGACGAGCCTCTTCGACGAGAAATCTCCGTTTCTCCTGCTGCTTGTCCTCCTTACCGTCCTTATCCTCCTTCTCCTCGTTATCGTCGTCTTCGTCCTCCTCGTCGTCCTTGTCGTCCTCGTAGTGTCGGAGCACTTATAAGAACAACCGTATAGCATGTCGAGTATGAAACACTTATTGCTACGATACACCTGGTTGACTACACTATTGAGCAGACACGAAAGAACAAACCGAAAAGAGAATTTTGCTTTTGGCAAGCACTCTCGTGGCAGAGAGAGAGAAAGAGAGAGAGAGAGAGAGAGAGAGAGAGAGAGAAAGAGAGAGAGAGAGAGAGAGAGAGAGAACGAATGAGAAAAAGAGGAAGAGGAAGAGGATCGAACTGAAACACTCGAAACGTAGGAAGACGCGCACGATTTCACTGGTGGTGCTGCTGCTGGTGCTATACTGCTGCTACCGCTACCGTTGGAAGATATAAACGAGCGGCTTTGGTCTCTGCGCGCGCGAGAGACATAGAGAAACAGAGAAAGAGAGAGAGCGAGCAAGCGAGCGAGCGAGCGAACGAACGAGTGCGAGAAAGAAGGGAGAGGGGGAGGACGCGAGTCCGCCACACGAGCGAGGGTGGCTCTCAGCAGCGCCCGAGGTAGGCAACCGGACTGACACAGACTATGCCACGATATGGGACTCTCTCTCTTTCTTTCTCTCTACCTCTAGAACGTGATGGACATCACCACCACCACCACCACCACCACCACCACCACCACCACCACCACCACCACCACTACCACCGCCATCGCCGACGCCGACGCCGACGCCGACGCCGCTACCACCACCATGACCACTGCGACCACCTCCACCACCACTGTTTGCTCTAAACGACTCGGCGCCGAAGCAAGAAAGCATGGCGAGGGTGGAGAAAAGAAAGCAGAGCTTGCGCTCTCTTCTCCTCGTGTTAAAACTCTCATCATCGGTCTCCCATCAGCGCCCGAAATTTATCTCGCGCCTTTTATCAAATATTCTTCACGATCATATTATCTTTCTACCGAAAAATAAGCGGATTAATTTCGCAAGATCAGATCTCTCTCTCTCTCTCTCTCTCTTTTCGGGCAGTTTTTTTACATCATTCAAGATAAGATTTGTTTTTTATCCCCTTTTTTAAAATCTCGTCGGGGAGGACTTTATTAAGGAATTTGTTATTTGTTATTATCGAATTATTATATAAATGCTCAAATCTCTTTTGAATTATATCAAAAGAATTGCGTGTCTCTCGTTTTAAACTAAAATCTATAAAAATTTCATGATTACGTGATTATCGATGCGTTGTATTTTTTTTTTTTTTTTTTTCTTTTCCTTTCTTTTTCTTTCTCTCTCTCCCTTTATTTCTTTCTTTCATTTATCCAATTCAATCGAATGGAATAATTTCAGCTCGATGGTAGAATGCACGCAGGTCACAGTCGGCAAAGTTGCGGTGGGGTCGGCCGTAACGTAGCCGATGCTTTGATCAAGCTCGGAGCCCACGATACGCGCTTTATTTCTGTCGTTGGCAACGACGAGCCTGGGACAGCCATATTCCAGAGTTTGAAGGGAGGCGGTGGAACCTTGAAACGTTCGTCCGATGTGTCCACGGCTAGGTACGTTTATCTTCCTTTCCCTTTTTCTTTTTCTTTTTTTTTCTCTTTTTTTTTTTTTCTTTTTTACTTTCAACCCAACACATTGTAGGTATCGTTATCGATCATTCGTTAAAATGTCGAGTTCAATATATGTATGTAAGTATTTTTACCTTTCTTCCATTTACTTTCTCGTATCTTTCACTTAAACTTTGATACGACAAAATGATTATAACACTTGCAACGTGCTAACGTTAAAATCTTGATAAATTTTCCCAGCTGTACCGTCGTGGTCGATGCCAAAGGTGAATGTTGTTTCATCGTAGGCGAAATGGAAGCTTTTGCTGCCATTGATATTAATTTAATAAAAAAATATCAAACGCAATTGGAGGCAGCCAGTATTATCGTCATCGATGCCAATTTACCCACGGAAACTATGGCATTGACCTTGGATATCGCCTCCCACGCGAAAATTCCAGGTTAGTGAGAAATCAATTTAATCGTACCTCTTTTATTTCTTTGTATTTATTCGATCCAACGTGTCCATAAAATATATATTTATATACACACACATATATAAATATATATATATATATACATATATATATATATATATATATATATATATATTTATTTATGGAAAATAATTTTATATAAGTTTTTGTTGTTGTCTTTGGAAAGACGAATGGACGGACATTAAAGTTTCGAACTATCGATCGGACCTTTTACTTTCCTTATTCTTTTTATATCTCCAACTTTGTCCGACAATCGTGTAAAAATTATGATAAATCTTAAATTATATTTGTATATTGTTTATTTTAATAATTATGTCGTATATAGAGATTTTTGAAACTTACAATTTAGAAAGTATTAAAGATCATAAAAAAGAAAAAAACAAAAAAAAAAAAAAAAAAAAAAAGAAAAAGAAACCGAAAACAGACAATTAACTTATTTTCTAATACTAGTCATTGAACAAAAATACAGATCATCGAGGAATATTATGAAAGTAAAAAAAGAAAAATGACGCTGATGATCATTGCAGGTAACTCAAGATATAAAAAAATAAAAAAAATTATATGATAAAAATATTTCGATAGATAATACATGACTCGTCCAACTATCAACTCTCTTTTAACTTCTGTTTTCTTATCATTGCTCGAATTCTTTTACTACAATTATCTATTGGTATTTGCATTGCGATATAATAATGCTGAAATTATGATGTTTTAAATCTAATACATACATATATATATATATAAAAAGAAAAAGAAAATGAAATGATATCAGTCTTCCTACCTAACGTGGACGGAACGATATTGTACTGCGTTGCATTTTTGACTTGTCAAATTGTGCGCAATGAAATACAATTGTGGCTTCGTTTTGTGTTATATAAGATACTGATTCTATATAACTTTGTTTGTTACTTTCATTATATGTATCCGGTTCGTTGCGAGCCATGATGACTTTGTGGATTAGGCTGCATTTGCATGACGAGATTTCGAGATTCTTTACGATACGTATAGCCTGCTCGCGCATTTAAATACAATAAAAATGCGCCTAATGAATGTAGCATAAAAGATATAACAGCAAGACCATAAGACCATGATAAATGATTGAAATTTGGATACATTAACCAATCTCTGCGCCAACACTGACCTCCGAATATAGCAACTGCCAAAAATAATAAGACACCTAAAATTTCAAACGTATTAACATTAAATATAGATATAATTTATAATGATATGTGTATAGATAAAATTATTTTGGAATATAATTTTTAAGGTAACACCAATATATTTACCAGTTGTAGCATTGAATACAAATGCTGCGGCAGAGAGAATCCATTCATAATGCAATACGAATCTTAGCGGCCATCTGATTAAAATCAATACGATAATTGCTTGCGAAGAAAATGATAAAAGTAAAGAGAGAGTGACGAATGCCTGTACGACCATAAGCCAAACAGGTAGTAACCATTCTCTTATGACAAAGTATTCTCGAGAAAAAATATGATGGCATCCGTCGAATAATTTATCAAACTGATAATATGGATATCGAAATTGTTCGAAACAATACTCCCAAAGACCCATATGTTTGAAAGTACTAAATGTTTCTTGATACGATTCAATCCAATACGGACTGAAAACAAATCAAAAATTATGTTATTTCCCATAAAATTTTTTTATTGTATTAGATTATTAAATATCTATTTATATTACTTGTTACCTTGTAAAAGACATCAACAAAAGTAATCCAGCGATATATGTTATTACTCCTCCAAAAAGTACAGCATCTATTTAGGAAAATATCGAAAAACATTATTAGAGGTTATGTTGTAGGTATTACAATAATAATCGAAGAAATATCTCACTTGATGCTTTTGGATAATCTTGTTTGTCGACCGTCATTCTCGATATTTTTTCCTCGATATTATAATATTTTTGAACCAAAAAAATACGATAAAAAAAGAACAAATTTTCACAAGGTAGTATTGCTCACAAAAATTGATGTCACTTGTAATTTCAACGTCTGCCACACCTTAATGTCGCGTTTTCATGATAATAACAATGTACTAATTTTAATCATTATGTTAATCGACTTTAAATCAAATTATTGTATAATTAATCACAAAAGAAAAAACGATTACTTATAATATCCTCGTAAAATGAAATCATATGATTATTATGCATTAATGAAAATGAAATGAAATTGATACTACGCATTTACTAGTTTATATTTACGTAGCTCCATCTTCTGGAATGAATTTTAACGAATTAATCGCGCGTAGATAAAATTTAAATTTCTCATGTTATAAATTATATTTTAATTTTTATTATTTATAATTTTGTTTCAGTTTGGTACGAGCCAACGGACGTAAATATAGCAACAAAATTATTCGAAATTGGATCGCAATGGGAAAATACGTTGCATTTTATATCGCCAAATAAAAACGAATTATTAGCCATAAGTAGATTCTTGGGTATACCAGTGCCTGACAATAAATTAATTATTACATTGGATGATGTAAACGAAATGGCGAATCATTTAGCAAAATACATTCCAGTGATCATAAGCACTTTGGGATCAGAAGGTGTTTTGGTAAATATATTATATATCTCTTGAATGATTAGTTTGAAAATTAATTTGTTTTAACGATAATCTTTTCTATATATATATATATATATATATATATATATATATATATATATATATATATTTATACAGATTACACGTGAAGCTAAAAAAACTGATCCATTTTATGACAAACATGGTGTACTGATTAAGAATGGTGCAATTAATTCTCACTTATACAAACCATTATCTCATGTTTCCAAAATTCCCTATAAAATATTTAGTGCTAGTGGTTGCGGAGATTGTTTTGCCGCAGGAATAATATACGGTATTCATAATAATCTAAACGAAGAAAATTGTGTAAATTTAGCTCTTAAAGCTGCTGATCTATCTTTAAGATCTCACGAAGCCGTGCCTTCAACATTGTCGAGCCTTAATGAAAAGTTTCTATGTTATTAACATACGTATAAAATAATTGTCATTTTTATACTAATTTTAATAAAATGATTGAAAATAAAAAATTACTTATTATTATTTTAGGGTTATACACAAGTATCAAAAGCTCTTTATACAAATGTTGTATATCTTGTTTTTTTATTTTAAAGTACATACGTTATATATAACATACAACAATCTAAATATTCTTATCCTAATTCTTAAACTGTCCTATATATATATATATATATATATATATATATATATATATATATATATTATACATATATATATATATATATATGTATAATAGTTGTACTCTTGAATGGAGATTATATTATCGTTGTATTTTTTTAGCTTAAAAATATTGCCATTATAAAATGTTGTTATACAGAAATTCATGTATCGTATATTTACATATTAGTATTATGTATTATATCCTATCATGCATACAATTTTTTGCTTACAATACTGATTAATGCAACAAAACATGCAACAAAAGAATACATGTATTGCAATTCATAAAAAATATTTGTATAGGTATAACAAAAATATGAGTAGAGTTAAAATAGAAATTAAAGGATTTTTTGACAAATTTTTTGCCTCCTTTAAACAGCTCAAATAGTCTCTCTTAATATATTTAAAGGCAGTTTCGTTAAATGGTACACATATCTATAAAAAAGATATATATACAAAACAATATATCCTTAAAAAGATATTCATTCCCTGTTTTCATCTAAATATTAGTAAAATATCATATAAAAATATACGTATAAACCTTCTATCAGCATCTTAATTTATAAATAATCTAGTGTGCAAAATATATATATATAAAAATGTGTGTGTGTATAAACCTAACCTTATTTACTAATTCTAAATGGACGGAATCATATTGAAAAGTTTACAGATATAAAATATTTATATATTTCTAAGAGTAAAACACTTATAATGTTTTACTTATGTACGAGATTCAAGTTGAAATTTAGTTTGAGATTCTGTAATATATTTACGCTTTTTCTGTTGAACATTTGCTTCAACGTGAATCAAAGCACTTGCTATAAGCAAGAGTACGCTGCCTATTACACCTAAAGCAAAGGACCATCCCAGATAGTTATTTGTATGACCAGGCATCCATCCTTCTGCATTTCCAAGAGAGGCAAATATAATAACGGCGATGCAACCGCTAATGCCACCAACTAATACCATGTACCCGATGAGCCTGATAAGTTCTACATATAGTTTCTGTTCTTGATCGCAACACAAGGCATACAATAATACACATACAAAGGATATTAGACTAAGCAAAAAACAGAACGTAAAAAAGAATTGTGTGGCTATCATGAATGCTGTAACAGAAAAAGAATTAATGTTATATATTATCATTTTGAAAGGAGAAAATTATTCTGATTTCAATGTGTAAACTTACAAGGCAATAGAAAACCACGAATTTCTGAATAACCTTTCGTGAATGGATCGTAGACCCATCTGCAGCCAACAAAAAAGCGAGTCGGTGCATCTGCTTCACGAGGATTTGGTAAAGATCTGAAGCAATGACTCCAAAGACCTAACTTATCGAGTTGAGCACTGGTGATTCGATAATCACTCACTAACCATGCGGGCGTGCCAAAGGCTATGCATACACATATAAACGCAATTAAAAACACACCTATTCCTATATTTCCAGATAAACTTCTCTTCTTCATGACGGACTCTTACAAACTTATGCTTTTTCTTAATTTTATATTACTTCTCTTCGATCTTAAACGATGTTTCTCGACGAAACTCTGACTAAGAGAATCTATTTATTTATTCGACGGTTATCCCACAGTATTAACCGCACCCCAAGTAATTTCTGAGCTTCGTGCCACACCCACACAGAATGTTGTGTATTGTTAATGTAACACCGCTGTGTCTGTCACAGTGGTATACAATGTCGTAACGTTCGACCCACCCAATTCAACTTTATTCAACCCTACTCGACGTGACCTAATCTTCGAGACTACCCACACTGTATCGTAAACTGAAATTGTCATCGAGTAATACTGCGCATGCGCGCATTATTAAATCAATGGCGCGATTTTATCAGTGATTTGAAAAAAAAAGAGAAAAGAAATAAAAATAGAAATAACAATCTTGTGAATTAATAACTACCTCGGTCGATATTTCTTAGAGAGATATATATATATATATTTTTTCATTCTTCGTTAATAATACCAATGTTACTACGATTGGAAGATAGTGGAATTATCTATTCATGTCGCGTCTATAGTTACGAGAGTGATTCATTACCATTTTGACTTATATCCTTAAGTCGTTTGAAATACCGAATGTCCTTGCCTGACAGTGTGGGAAACTCGCTTTTTTTTTTTGTTATATTATACGCGGTTTAGAATTTCAGGGTTATATGCATAAAGGCATGCAGATTTTTTTTTCTCCCATTGTAACAACTTGTGAAATCCTTCTCTTGTTTCTTTTCTCTTTTTTATCCATTCGTATTGTAATTATCTTTCTCTGATGATCTTAATAAAAATAATATGATAATGTACATAGATAAAAAAAAAAAATTATTTATTAAACGATAAACATATATAAAGAAAAAATCTTAATTTAGCAATTAATGGTCGTAAGTGGATTTATTTGGATAATTTTTGTTTTTTGTTTTTTGGATTTTGTTCAGACCATTTGGAAACGAACGCTTTCACGTCAAATTTTCTTCGACATCCTTCATAATTCATATATCTTATTTTTCCAAATATCTCACGTTCTTTGAAACCCCGATCATGAATACCACAGATTGACCACATGCAACCTAAAGGAATTCAAACTTTAAATAATTTATGTTATCGATATATATGGTTATATTTATTGTTTTCATATAAAAATAAATGTATGACAGACCAACATAACCATTAGGATCATTTCCATCTAAACTATATTTATCATTTAGATAAAGTGACCATTCTAGAGCGTTTTCTGGCGTAGGACTCCATTCTAATATTTTTTTAGCCCAATACATTCTTAAAAATCCATGCATTTTACCTTTATGGATTAATTGATTTTGGCATGCATTCCATAAATCATCGTATGTCAATGAATTTTCCAATTCATTCAAATTATATGTATACAGACGTTTATCATGTCTACGTATAATAGATATTGTAATAATTTAAAATAAAAAAAGTAGTGAGGATAAATTAAAAATAATAATCAATGAATTTATTACCTATGTACATTTAAAGTTTCTATTGCCCAATTATAGGCACCTTTTATACTATCATAATTTTCATTGTAATAACAAAAATTATCACTTAATTCACGACGTACAACAGCTTCTTCTATAAAACATTCCATAGATTTTTCCATAGTCCTTTTATATTCCATCACTTCTAAGACACAACGTTGTACTGATATCATACCAAAATGAAACCATGGAGATAAATTACTAACAACATTAGATATTGGATCATTACGTTTGGAATGATATACTTTTAAACGATTCTTTAAAAAGTCCTCCAATTCTAAAATACCACCCAAATATCCTGCCTTTACGCATTTAATTTCTTCTACCGACGTATCTGCTTCAACATTTTTTAACGCATTATCCCAATTATTTTTTTCAAATGATTCTGTAGAAGAATATTTATGTTTTATAACAGGTGGAAAACCTGTTAGAAATTCTTTTAACTTAGAATGTATTTTAGGACGGATTGTTCTTGCAGAATACTCTAATTTATCGGATGCAATCCAACATGGCACAATATTATGAGCATCTACCTTTGTAAAAACAAAAAAAAAAACAAAAAAGAAGATACATTGAATACTATTAATATAACGAAAGTATAATAATTATAATGAAAATTTTTATGGTTAAAAATTTAATATACTTGATATATGGAAACTTCATTGGGTAATTTTTTCTTTACTTCATCGATCCAAAACAAGGGTAATCTTAAGGGAAGAAAATCTGTAATTACTGCACCAATTTTATAATTTTTGACGAAATCTGGTATTATCAAATTTGGTTTACCATCTAACAGATGAAAATTTATATTCAAATCGGTACATTCTTTTTCTATTTCCCTTAAACCAATTAAAAGAAATTTATAATGTCTCATTGTCGCATTAAGAAATTTTGGTAATATGCAGAAACAAACATGAAGGGGTACTTTATTCTTGATAGCTGTTTTTTGTGCGAATAAAAATGCCCAATTATCTAAAATAACATTATATAAAATATATTATTTTATTTTATTCTTTTTAAAAGTATCAAGTATATATACCCTGAACTCTAGCATCACGAAACATCCAATACAAAATACCCTTGCAATCCTTCTTTATATCATTTAAATTTGTTAACTGTTTAACTCTTTTTGTATTAAATTGAAAGGTTGTCACAGAATTTGCAATCTATATAAAATTAAATACATATAAATGATATTTGTTAACTATTACTAAGAACAAATAAAATATAAATACATATATCTCACATTCTTTCTATCATTTTTTATTTTAGTTAATAAATCAAGAGTATCGAAATTTTTCTTCAGAGACTTTTCCGCCATTGTTACCTGTAAAATACTCTTTACTTCTTTATTATCAGAATATTATATATACATATGTGTGTGTGTGTGTGTGTGTATGAGCTAAACGTTAATATAAATTATTATTATAAACAAAACTCACAAGTTTAGACGGTCCTTGAAACAGCTACGACGTTCACGCGACCAAGGATCACAACAAACTGATTTAATGTAAGTCAAGGTAAAATAGAGATTCGATCGTTTGTTTATATTGACAGTACGCTTAGAGGGGAATTAAAATATTATTGGAAATAAAAACAGAAATAATAAGAAAGAAATGTTCAATTTTTTATTAAAACATTATCGCATATATAATTATGCGATATCTAACAACAAAAAATATTATCTATTGTTATTAATTATCATACGTTCGAGTTCTTTATAATTCATCCGGCTCATTTATCCACTATCGATAATATAGATTCCTAGATATGAAATATCGTAAGATGGTAAGTTCATTTCTGTACTTATCGACTTGTCATGATAAACTTTCGCTGCTTCATAGATGGTACAACATATTTAAATTGAAGAGACCAAAGTATAAAATTATTTTACATATTTATATAATTTATCTAAACATATTATTATTATAAATATATATATATATATATTATTGTTCAATATTTTAACGAAAGAAATGTAATTCGACGAAATGATATAATTATATATTTAAACAATTTAATCGACAATGGACGAATTTTCATTAGAAAGGACGACGTCGATGATATTTTTTTTTTATTTTATTGCAAAGAAAAATATAAATCTTTAAGATGAAACCCCAAGAAAGCATGAAAATTGTAGAAAGCTTTTCCGGAAAATCTAAATTCTACGAATGATTGAAGCGCTCCCACAATAGGGAAGCATGGGAACGAGGAGGTTACTCGATCAAGAGTGTTTCCCGAAGGAAGGATCGTCCCAGATAGCTTGTTGGCTATATATATATATATATATATATATATATATATATATATATATATATATATTTATATATATATATATACATATATATGGCTACGTTTAGAATACGGTTCATTTTTCCTAAGGGAAAATGCATCGTGTCTTTCTACGAGAAAACGAAGGACATATAAACAGGCGGTCAGGATGTCATCGTTCTCTCTTTCCCTCGTTTTCCTCATTTTCACGTAAACCGGAAACGTCGAATTATCTGGTTTCCCCGATAAAACGAGAAAATTTCCCACCAGCGAGAGGATGAATTTCCCTTTGGACTAGGAGTTTATGTTAAAGATGGAAGAGGAAAATCCAGAGAAAGATGGTAGTAACCTTGCCTACGGGATATCCTCGGTTCAATGAGATCCTGATCGGCTATGAGGTAAAACGATCATTTTGACGATCGTCCGTCAAATTTAAAGAGATTCTAAGAGAATAGATTAATATTGTCATGTGTTTAGTTAATCATTTACCTATCTCGATCATCCACGTTCCACGTATAATCTTGTATTATACTTAAGAAGAAATAATTCAAGTAGGTCGATCGAAAGATGATAGACACGAATAAGCATTTATCTATGTTATTATTATTCCTCTTAATTTTATTCGACTGTTTAACTATAAAAGAAAAATTTTCTCGAAGCTATCGATCATCATAATCTTTATCTTCTCTGACTATCGTAACAAGATATACGTATGTACATATTCATAATTTTTATCTTTCTTTATTATTTTTAATTTTCTCATTTTATTTTTCTTTTCTTTTCTGTGTTTTTTTTTTTTTTTTTTTTTTTTTCATGAAACAGAAAAATCTTCACAATTCTATGATACCCTGCTTTTAAATGAGAAAACTCCTTCTTTTCTCTCTCTCTCTCTCTCCCTCTCTCTCTCTCTCTCTCTCATTGAAACATTCGCTTCTAGGAGACAATCACACGATACGTTTTTAATTCTCAAGAGATTCGATCGTTCCACTTTCGATTATTAAAGGATTCAATCGAGTTGAAATACAATCCAATTATGAAAAAGTCGAAGACATTAATGAAATGGCCGAGTGACGTTGATGAAGATTTGAAAATACATGAGTATGTATTTGGATACATACTTTGACGTATATATATAGATCATATATACATATATACATATATACATATATATAAAGATTTCTTTCGTTTTCTCTTTCTCTTCTATTATCGCAAAGATTTTGATTCTGATAGCTTTTCCAAGCGTTCCTGTTTCCAAGTGAAAGCGCACGCGTGCTTTCATCGATGTATTTTTCTGGTGTGTATTTCCTGGCCCCATTTGGCCCCAGAATGAATTAACTTTCGACATCATATGGCATCCTGTTAGATCGTAAGACAGACGCAAACTGTCGATGGCAGGCATAACGTTAGAACGAGAAATAGGAAAATAAAATTCGTTCGACGAAAACCGAATCGAATATGAAAACTAATATTTTACGTTTACAATTATTATACTTAAGAAAAGGAGAATACATGAGGGAGCCCTGAAACGAAAAAACAAATCGATCTGTTAGA